GTTTTCTTGGGTACTAATATCATCATCAGCCTCATTGTTATAATACCTATCATGGGTGTTATTGATATGTGCGCTGAACAAACAGTTGACTGTTGTGTATCTGTATTGATCCATGAACTGTTTGATACACAACGGTCAACTGTTTGATCAACGCACATATCAACAACACCCATGATAGTTATTATAACAATGAGGTTGATGATGATATTAGTATCCAAGAACACCTTGATCGTGCAAGAGCTGTATCAGTAAATAAGAGGTCAATAATCAACGTCATGAAAGGTTTTTCAATACCAGCTGGATTACCATGGCATCTGGTGGATGATGTTTATATTCCGATCAATTATGATGGAGATTTTCATTGGGTATTAGCTGTGGTTGAATTGAATAAGAGGTTGATACGCGTGTATGACTCTTCTTTGGGCACAAGGAAACGTGTATATTCTGACGAGATAAAAAATTGTCAAGGATGTTACCCTCTTACCTGATTGACAGCGGTTTCTTTGAAAATAATGAGCGGACAAACTGGTCAGTTCTTGATGCATACAAGGACAAACAAATGGGTGTACCTTTAGAGTCACATATTCCTTTCAACATTGAATACGCTGAAGGTATCATGCAACAAGAAGACGATAGCCTGTAAGTATTTTCAATTCTGGTCTACAATATATGTGTAAGCTATTTTACAAATTTATATTACGTATTTTGTTATAGGGACTGCAGGTTATACGTAGCTACATTTGCAGAGTTTTTGAGTGACCAACTTGTTATACCACCCGATACTGATGGACATCTTGCAAATTACCTACGCAATAGATATGCGGCATTGCTATGGAGATACGGCAGCGACAAGGTCAATGGTGGATACATAAGTGATAATGACGATCCACCAAAGCCCAAGGGTCAATTCACAACACAACCTGAAGATGACATTGTTAACATAGATTAGTAATTAGCTGGGACAGGATGAATAAGTTTTTATGTTGTTTTTTGTTGAAGACAATTATCTTTTGTG